ACAGATAAACAATAATAAAACACTGAGGCGTACTTTTATTGAACTACTAATAACCTAGGTTACCTGATCCTAGTATAATATCCTTCGCATAAATGTTTAATTATATGTGCTGTGCGAGAATATAGCGGTTATAGCAGGGGATGTACTTGAAAGTAGGTATTATGGGAAATCCCAACGACAAAAATCGAAATGCCAGACAAGTTCTGTAGGTGCAACCTACGCGACCGTCACCTACACAGATGCTGCTACCCTTCTGTTACCTACCCTGCTATTATCTACCCTTCTGTTACCTACCCTGCTGTTATCTACCCTGCTGTTACCTACCCTGCTGCTGCTTAACCTACGGCTATTCTACCGGCCGCTAACTATGCGGCGGTTAAATAACCTGCTACAAGTCACGTCGGCTTTAGCTACATTGCTGCCAGTTTCACGGCCGCCATGGCCGTTAGATAGTTAGTGCAAGTTGGGCAGCTAGACTGCGGCCCCCATTGCTCCTCCGCTGACTCGCACTTCAGTCTGATCGTTCTTCACGGCTCGTGCAGCAGCCTCTTGGTCTGCCAACGGAGTGATCGACGTACGAAGTCTCTGCAATCACCACGTTAGACACATGGATGTAAACGATATGTGGGGACCGACGCACCCATATTTTTCAACAGGACCAGTGTGAGAATATAAACAAAATGTAAACGCCTTTGCTTCTTAGCATATTTGCAATGTTGGGGTTCAGCTCTTGCTATGAACTCTCCTGCCCCGTTTCCCGAACCATAGACAGTTCCAAGAGAGAGTTGCTAGATCCCCCAACGTATATTTATAGACGTGTATTGAACAGAGAGTACATTGAGTTGAGTATTCGAAGTCGCATTGCTTACCTAAATTAAAAAAAACACCCGCACATAAAAATAATAATTATATATGCACAATTATTTCTGAAATTAATGGACACAACACAACAACTAACCTCGAGAAAGGTGTCGCCAGGTGTCGTTGCGAGCGTGTAGAGCGCCATGGCGGGAATCATAAAGACAGATGACATTGCGATGATCCAACCCAGAGCGTTTGCCCACGTCGGATATACGTAATCGTCGTACTTTAGCGGCTCGTGGAAGGCCAGACCAAACGTGACGATGAACTGAGTTATATATATATTGCGCGTGCTAGATTCGTAATATTTCGAGTGGTTAAAGTCATGTACATGCATATGAAACAATAACGAAGACTAGTCGTGTCTATATGACATATCGTGACTCTACATAACATTCTATCAAGAGTGGGTAACAATATATCTATTATCTATCTATAGATCTAATAGATCTATTAATCTATTATTATTCACTCCTGATTATATGCGAGTAAAATCAAAACTGTAACAGTCATGAATACACGTGTGTCTTATCATCCCGAAACGCTGACAATTTAATTATCATTAATCATCGTTCAATCACCACGTGACATCATCGCACATATTGATGACGTACTTGTATGGTTAATAGCGGTGACGTCACCGTCAAAACAGTCGTCCGTATTCCAGGGGTTGTCACAGCCGACCCAGGGCAGATTCAACGTCCACGAGGCAAAGAAGTAGTAGAGCGCCCAGGCTATGACGACGTTGTAGAAAAAGTCGACGTAGAATGCGATGATTACCACAGCGTAGCCGATACCTGTGACGTAGTCAGAATTTATGGCGTAGGTAGAAAATGACAACGGCGTAGTTAGAATACAAATGTTTAAAGTGCGAGAGTATATGAGTGATTAGGATAACGAGATGATTATTTCAGCAAATTATAGATAATTAAATTGACTACGGTACAATTTTACTATGGTGTATATTTGATATATTAGATTGTTTCTCAAATAGTTAAAAATCTAAAAAAACCTGGACGATTTGATATTATTATCCTGACATTAATTGCTTGCTATGGGCTATGTATTATGAGTCACGAGTGTATGTTTACATCGAACAATATAGTAAAATAGAAAGTATAATGCAGCAATTTAACCATAAAAAGTGAACGAATTTCAAAACTTGCATTTTGTGAAAAAGTGGAAATGTATTTTTATTTTTACTATTTACGGTGACGTAATTACTTTAAGTGGCTTCCCAATCATTGTTTTACACATGAAAAAGAATATGGGGCTGAACATTATGCACGGTGCTATTGTGTCTGTGAATAGAATTTCTATCGTGAATGTGAAATATCTGATCTCGTCTTCCCTAGAAACAATAAAAATGAAATGGCCTGGCAGTTGACAACGGAGACGAAATAGCCAACCAACTCTACAATGAATTAGTTTCCCGTGTCATGCCAAACAGTTTTGCAAGTAGAGCATTATAGCATCGAAGGCGTTAAATATATAATTAATCAATAAAATTAAATCTATAAGCGGTTGCATAATTCCGTCCGAGAAACCTCTTGTGCGTACCTGCAGATGTGTTCCTATTTTAACTTTTATTAGAAATTTACTTCACAATAATTTTTTTCGAACGATATAGCTACTCAGA